CCTTCCTGCCTTCCTGCCTTCCTGCCTTCCTGCCTTCCTGCCTTCCTGCCTTCCTGCCTTCCTGCCTTCCTGCCTTCCTGTCTTCCTTCCTCCCTGTCTTCCTGTCTTCCTGCAGGTTTGAGGAGCAGATCTGAGTTTGGAGGTAGGTGGTTGTGTGCTTAATCTTGCTCTCTAGCTTTGTCTCACAGTAGGTCGCAAAGTCCAGAAGGGAACATTGCTGTTCCAGGTGGTCGTCTTAGTAGAACCTGAGGCAGTCTGCCCAGGGATTGGCTTGGCCAGCGTTCCTCAGAGCCACCATGGCCTGTCTCCATTTACAGATGCTTTTTATGGTAGCCCAGCACTTAGCATGCTTGCCTTCTGCTGCAGCTTCCTCTAAACTATTTTTTAGGTTCGGCACACAGCAAGTCAGCTCGGAGCAGCTCCTACTGACTTGAAACAGAAGCGAAGTAACAGTTGTTAAAAAAAGGTTTCTCCTAAAGAAAATCTGAAGAGGTGTCTGTTTAAAACCGACTTGTGCTGTCAATGAGAATGCCTCCTCAGAAGCTGCCTGGGGTTTGCTGGGACCAGCAAGCGTCTCCACCAGGAGCAGCTGTCCCCTCCAGCATTTCCTGGCTTTGTGAGTAGGAGCTGGCCATACACTCTTTCAGTGTCCGTATCCTATAAATGTCCAGCGATAAAAAGCTACGGTGAGACGGATGTCTGTATGTGAGTCAGAACCCAGCTCCTGGGGTGCTGTTGTCTTTAGTTTCCTTGTCACCAGCTTACCTTAGAAAACCCATCTGTTTTGCTCTATTAGCTGAGACCTGAGACCCTCTCCTTTCCCCAGGGAGAGTGGGAGTGATCTACTCTGCAGACTTTGGCAGGGAGACCCTGCAGAGAACCCTGATTTGGGGGCCGGTCGTCCTGTTTGTTATGGATGATCTTGGTTGTCAACGTGACATACCTGGGAAGAAGGAACCTCAGCTATAGAGTTTCCTCCATCCGGGTAGCCTGCGGCACCATCCCCAGGCAGGTGGCCTGGCCTGTTCTCCCATAGCTTCTGCTTGAATCCCCTGCCTTGAGTTTCTGCCTTGGGTTCCCTGGAACTGGAGTTACAGACAGTTGTAAGCTGGGTGTTGGGACTCAAACCCTGGTCCTTCAGAAGAGCATCCACTGCTCTGGACTGCTGAGCCATCTTGCTGGCCTCAGTTTTATTTATTCTTTGACACAGGTTCTTACTCTGTCGCCCAGGCTAGCCTTGAACTCATGGTGAACCTCATGCCTTAGTCTCCTGAGTGCTAGGATAGCAGATATGAGCGAAGATGCCAGGCAAAACAGCATTTAGAAACAGTTTTTAAAATGTGAATATCGGTCACCTGCACTTTGAACACGGTCACTTACTAAGTAATCATCATGAGCTCACTTCAAAAGCCCTTTGGCCTCCTCTCAGAACACCTCCCACGCAGCTAGTGGACTCACTCTTCCGTTTCCTACTGTCGAGTGAGAACTGCCCAGGCTGCTCACCCTCCTTCATAAAGTGGAGACAAGTACAGGGAGCCAGGGAACCAGCCCAGTGTTTAGTCTTCGGGGTTCCAGTGCTTTATACATTTGCCACTTGGTCTTGAGTTATTTTCCTTAATTCAAGGAGCTCACAATCCTGTAGGGCAGAGGGCCTCAAGTTTGATCATGTGAATAAGCCGAGAGTCACATGAGGATTCTTTCCATGAGAGGTTGAGCCTTGGTGAGATGGTGGTGGAGGTGGTGACTTTTGAGTCTTAATTCATTGAAAACAAGATCATCTGCAAGCTTCGTCTTCTACTGATAGGCTTGCAGTGGGATGAAGGACTGGGTGTCCTAGTATAAGACAGCCCCTCCTCTGACTCCCTAAACCTGTTACCCACCTGTGTCCGTCAGCTACCACTTACCTGTCTGCCTGTCCAGCTGATCGGCAGGTCTGTCTGCGAGCATTCCTCATGTGTTCCCCTGAGAGCTGCAAGAACAGCCAGGGAAATGTGCAGGCCAGTTTGCTGAATGGTCTTCCCACAAGGGATCAGAAAGGGGATCTTGCCTTAGCGTTATGAATAAAGAAAACAGAAAAATGGTGGGGATCAGGAAAAAACCACCTCAAATATGTCAATTTGGACTTCAAATGGGGCACAGCGCACGAAAGAAGGTGTGTTAGCTGAACTGCACTGTCTGCCTAAAGATGCATCCTGCAGCCAGCGATGATGTATGGATGTCACAGGAGGGTGGAGTCACAGCACACTCACTTTGTCTGAGGATACACCTGTTTACGTGAGGACCACTCTTCTTTCCCAGAGATCGGTTCTTCTCACAGGAGGGGGAGTCACACCACACTCACTTTGTCCGAGGATACACCTGCTTACGTGAGGACCACTGTTCTTTCCCAGAGGTCGGTTCTTCTCTCGCTCACCTGCATTTCTCTTCCTCCTTGGGTATTTTGCTTCCTGGTCGTGTCTGCGCCACGCCGCGCCCACCACTTTGGTCCTTCAACATGGGTGGGGGGGGACCTGTCTACTGTCAGTTTATTTTGTGAACTCATTCACTGATGCCTCAGAGGGCGAAGGGTGGTGTTTTCACTCTGACAGAAGCTTGGGCCGTGAAGCTTGAGAATCCTGGGTTTGAATTCTTGTGAGACTTTGGATAACTCCTCCATCTTGAAGCTGGGTATGAAAACATGCCCACCTCAGAGATACTGAAGATGAGATGAGATGGCTCAGGCCCAAAGCCTTGGCGCAGAGCCTAGCATCCGTAAGCATGGCCTGCTGCTCTTGGCTTTGTGTTTAGTACTAAAAAGGATGATAGGACTCACTTCGGGCTTCAGGGTGCAGCTGGAGCCATGCCCCCCACAGGAGGCCCCTTCCAGAACTCTGGAAGTAAACTTGAAGCTTCCCCTGGAGTCTGATTGTGGCTGTGAAGGGAAATGCTGGTGCGGTAGAGCAGGTGTGCGCTGGAGAAATTTCCTGGCTTTATACTGTAGGTGGGGAAGTGGGGCTGTGCTGGAATCGGAGACCCCATGAAGCTGCTTGGGGCAGCAGGCACTTTTTAGTTTCTAAAACAATGTAGCAGTGTAAGGGAACCTGGTGGCTTTGTATCCAGCCCAGTGATGCTTTTAGTGGACTCTCTGGGTCTGGCAAACAAGGTTCTGAGGTCATTCTCTGACCTTAGCAGTCTTGCTGTGAACCAAGGCCATGACTGACACCCACACATACTCCCACAGGGTTTGTTGAGGGCCTATGTGCTGAGTGTTAGCATCCAACCCTTGCTTTCAAGTCTCAGTCTGCTCAGTTCTGTAGTTTAGGCTTGAGTGTCATGAACTTTTCCTCTCGAAATTAAAATAGTTCTGTTCTTTATAAGCGCTGTTTTCCTTTCCTTTCTTTTCTTCTTTTGATTTGTGTGTGTGTGCACTTGCACGAGCCCGCACATGCCTGTGTTACCTCAAAGAGGCAACAGTGGTACAAGCTGAGAATTAGCCAGATAGGTGGTTTCTACCTGGAGCCTTAATTGAAATAGCATCTCTCCCCCAGTGATGTCCCTACAGTCAAGCTAATGGTTCAGCCTGCAGACTTTCCCAGTCTAAGGCTCGGGCTCCAGTTCTGTGATTGGGTGAGTACCTTAGTGCCTTTTCTTTTCCATGTGCATGTGTGTGTGGTATATATGATTATAGATACATGTGTGTGAGAATACATATGAAGGTTCATGAATATGGAAGCCCAAGACTGATATTGGGAGTCATCCCTGATCAATCCCAGCCTTGTTGAGGCAGGGCTCTGACATGGCTAGTCTTGCTGGCCAGCTTGTGGACCACCACACCCATCTGGCATTCCATGTGCTCTGGGCATCTGAACTCTGGTCACATTTGGTGGCAAGTGTTTTAACCATTGAGTGATCTCCCCAGCCCCTGTCAGGTCCAAAGGAAACTCCATTTCCTCAGATTCTGGCAGTTAGACAAAAGCCAGTATTCCTCAGGAACTTGTGAAGATGGTTCCCTTCTACCAAAGGAGTCATTTCCCTTATCACTGGCAGAAGGGACAAATGACTATTTGTGGTGACTCTTATCATCCCAAATGTATGCTGGTCTCCAGGCTCCCGCGTATCACACATACCTGCTACATATGTTAGAGTCCATGCTGGCACCCTGGCTCTCCTCACCCCTCTCCCCTCGGCTTTCCCAGCTTCTCATTCTCCTTAGCACCCCGCTGTTTTGGCTGTGCGCTCTCTTGGTCCCTTCTTTGTCTTTGTCTCTTACGTCCTCCACCTCCGCTCCTGTTTCTCTCCTGGCCAGGCCCAGTCTGCTGGCCGTGTTCAGTCTACTACTTTCTCTTCCTGCTCTGGACTCTTCCAGAAGTCTGTGGCTGATCTCCCTCATATCTACAATAAAAATCCTCCCCTTGACCATAGGTAGCATGGGGCGGTCATGTCGTCAGTTTATCCCCTCTTTAGCATCTTTTCTGTGAGACAAGGGTGTGGTCCATCTGCAGTGGGCCCCTGCTGCCTCAGGCATCCCTTCTTCTGCCTTTCGCTGCCAAGTGTCTTGTCCTGTTGGATGGAGTGCTTGGTGCTGGCTGCAGTGTGTGGGGTCCCCTCTCCAGTAAGGCCTTACAGCTGCTCCGTCACGGGTTGACCCCGATCACCCTTGTGTCTTCCTACCTCACTTTAAATTCCCAGTGTCTTTCCCTTCCCCGGCTCTGCGGCTGCACCTCTCGCGTCTGCACGTTCTGACTCTTGGCTTGCCTGCTGCGTCTCTGTCCAGTCTCAGCTTGGCCGAGTCTCACACCTAGGGGAGGTTACAAACGAGGGTGACCCCATTGCCTTGCTCTTGGCTTTTACACCTCACCCCCCTTTCTCCTTATGCTTCCATATCCTCCCCACCCCTCAGCTTCCCTAGAAGAGCCCCTGATTAGAAGGTAGTGGCTTTCTGGGCCTCCAGTTGGGAAGAGGTTGTCAGAGTCAGTCTTGTGTAATTTTATATTTTACACGTGCTCCTTTGTCAACCCCAGCATTTGCAGAGTGAGTCTCTGGCCCTCCATTGATGTTTCCGGCTTATCTCCCATCTCTGCTGGACAGGAATGCACAATGAATTAATTGAGTTGTTTTTATCCCTCTTCCTGCCTCACGGAACACCTGCGTGGTGAATGCTGCCAGCTCCCCTGCCTCGTACCTGATTGGCCAGCTGTCCCAGCCATGTTAGTTTCTTGCTTCTATCAGAAGTGTCAGTCTTGTCTTTTGAAGTTTCTCTGCTGTGCTGTTGTTAATTTAGAGGTGCACGGCATGCTCTTCTGGGACCACCCTTGTGTTCCCACCTTGCCGTCAGCCTTGTGATCACTGGTGACCCCAAAGCTTGTGAAAGCTGCCTGCCGAGAGATGTAGAATGAGGGTGTGTTAGTGTGTTCCACATGGGTTCCTGCGCTTGTGTGTCTTTCCTGTGGCCTCATTTTGACCCAGTCTCTCTTAAGCTGCTGTTGCTGCTTCAGGCCTGACCTCTGAAGAGGTGCAGCAAAGACAGGCTTTAAAGACTTCGAAGACATCTTGGGTCCATACCATTCCATAGGCAAATGTGGTTTTACCAAGAACAAAATGTGGGCAGAGAATGACTACAACCCAACCACAGATGCTGCCCTGTCTGCAGCCTGTCCCTTGCTAGTTTTCCTTGGTTGAAATGTCCCAGAGCCAGCTTTGTGGTTCCTGGTGAAACTATGGCTTAGGTGACATTTTGCTGCTTAAAAACCCAGATGAATTCTTTGGGTATATGCCCAGGAGTGGTGTTGTTGAGCCATGTAATAGTTGTGTTTTTAATGTTTTGAGAAACATCCTGTGGTAGTTTGGATGAGAATGGCCCCATTTCTTTGTTTGTTTGAATACTTGGTCCTGTGTTAGTGGAGCTCTTGGGGAAGGATTAGAAGGTGTGGCCTTGGAGGAGGTATGTCACTGAGTGTGGGCTTTGAGGTTTCAAAAGCCCACACCAGGCCCAGTCTCATTCTCTCTCTGCTGGTGGATCAGGATGTAAGTTCTCAGCTGCTGCTCCAGCACCATGATGATAATGGACTGACCCTCTGAAACTGTAAGCCCCCAATTAAATGTGTCCTCATATAAGTTGCCTTGGTCACGGTGTCTCTTCACCGCAATAGGACAGTAACTAAGACACCCCCTTACCCTATTCCCTTAATGGCTGTACTGGGTTACGCTCCCACTGGCAGAACAGAGCCCTTGCCTCATCCTTGAAAAAAATCAGATAGGCAGCTAAACCTGTCTCCGTGAAGGTGAGATTCTACAGTGACCTTGCACAAGGATTGCTCGTGGGTGAGGCTCCTCACTGAGGGTACAGAAGGAAGTGTGGAGTTGGGTGGCAAGGCTGCAATCCTGGTCTGTCACTCTGTGCTGTGGGCCAATTAGTCTTGTAAGTGGTCTTTGCCCTCTCAGCATGTCTAAAGAATGCCTAAAATTAGTGTGTCCATTAGGATTGTCAGGAGAGAGACTGGATGGGAAGCGCCGGGCGTGCTGCAGGTGTTTACAGATGTCTGTCTTTATGTCCGGTTACGAGGAGAGAGCAGGCGCTACCTGGAGAGACGCGAACACTAGAGACCCAGCGTGGACATTAGCATCCAGCACGCTTCGACCCTAGGGAAAAGGGTCAAAACTGCCCTGCTTTCTGGACTTGTAGAAGTCACTGTAGTCGTGTGGCGCGTGTGAGAGGAATACCTGTAAGACAGTACTTGGTACTCTGCATTCTCCAGAAGTGACCAAGTCAAACAGAAAAGGCAGACACTCGACAGTTAAGGGAGCCGGGAGCCAGGCATGGAGGCACGTGTCTGTTTTCCTGGCATTTGGGAGACTGAGGCAGGAAGATCCAGAGACCAAGGGCAGCTTGTTTATATAGTGAAAAGAGGAAGGGGAAACCTATGAAAGGATAAGAAGAGGGTGAGTGCCTTTGTCTCTCTTCCCAAGGGGCTTTCAGCACTTACACACCCACCCACCCCCACCCCCACACACCTTTCTCTCTCTTACACACCCACACCCAACAAGATAAACACTCACCAACTACACACCCTTTCTTTCTCTTACACACACACACACACACACACACACACACACACACACACACACACACACACCCGACACATTCACCCATATTCATATCCCCCACTCCTACCCCTGCTGTCTGGCCCTGGTGGACCCTGCAGCCTAGTACGGCCTGAGGAAGGTCCCCTGGGTCCTTGGTGGAGGAGAGGGTGGTTAAGGTGGGAGCGCTGAGGCTACTTTCATGGGTAAAGAAGTCGTTTTGCTTTCTTCCGGTTCTGCCCACACTGGTGAGTGGGCCGTCTAGTTCTGGGCTGCTGTTTGTCTGTGGCTGTGTCCTCTCAGTCTGTCTGCTCTCATCCTATTTTCTCCCAGCACCCCAGCTGCACAGTTAGTGCCGTCGCCATTGGTGCTGGACAGGCTGGTGTCTGCCGGGGTTAGAGCTGGTGCAGAGAAGAGTTCAGTGGGGAGCAGTCTGTGTCAGGGAGTGTACCGAGTTTACTGATGCATCTCCCTCAGCTACATCCTTTCCTTTGCCCCAGATGAACACAACTTTTTTTCTTCTGTGACTTAACACAAGAGTTGTAGGCACTGTGACCTTTGGTGACTCCCTGGGCTTGCCTTTTTCATAGTGACTATATAGCAGGAGATGGGGGGGGGCAATTCAACTTCCAATATTGTTTTATTAAGTGCCTGGCACTAATGAGTCCTCTGTCCTGAATACCATTAATTTTCTAAACAAAATGTGCTGTGAGCACAGTTAATCTTTCAAGTTGTAATCCCAGAGTTGCTTGACCTGACCTGTGTAGCTGTAGGAAACAAATGGCTAGCTCTTGATAAATCGTGGTCTTTTCTGAGCCTAAAGAAGGCTTTTTCTGAGTTAATTATGTCCTGGGGAGCAGAGAGTGCCATCTCCAAGTCAGGCAGGGTGTTCTCCATGCCTCTGTGACAAGGCTAATAGTCCGCAGATTTCAGAATAATTGCTCGTGGATTTGGCTTTGGAGTTATGCCAGCTTCAGTGTGAGTGCTGGCATGACTCTTACTCACCGGCATGGTTCCGAGTGTCACCTGTGCAGCAGGAATGGCTGAGGATGGCAGGAGGTGACACAGTCCTTAGCCGTGGCAGTGATTAACACATGTAACCACTGCTGTAAGAACGGTGGCCTCGGGAGTCTAGAAAATGTGATATTCAGGACCTAATCAATTAGTCATTGTAAAAATTGGCCTCTTGCTGCTGGCTGCCGTTCCGTGCGGGGTGACAGTGGTGTGGGGGAGAAAGTATCACTTTCCTCTGATCCCACAGGCTGAAACCACTCCCCAACCTAAGGACACCGCCACTGCAGGCACTTCCGAGGGTCTTTGCCCTTTCATGTCCCTCACTAGTGACCGGGTGCTCACCAAGTCCTGTGGACTTTGCTGCCCTCACTCATCCGCTGGCTCCAAGCCAGCATCTCTCAGGTTAGGTCATTACCCTTGCCACTAGATTCTGAAATCGGCTTTTCAAAGATGCAGGACGGAAGAGGTGGAATGGAAAATGTCGGAGGTTCTGTATGTGGTGAGACTGATTTAGTTGGTGAGACTCATATGTAACAGTGGTTTCACAAACCACAGCTGACATCGGCTTTGTACCACTCACTTATCTGTCCCCAGCAACAGCCTGGAGGTGGTGGAACAGTCGCAGGAACTTGAGAAGCTGGCCCAGGGTCACAGGTAATGCCAGGAGTCCAGTGCAGGTCGAGTGTGTGTGAGCAGGTGCATGTTTCTGGTGTAAAGTATCCTACTTGCATGTTGCCACAGAAGAAAAGTTGGAATGGTTCTGTGTGGCAGAGTCCGGTGCAGCCTCCCTTTCTAGAAATGCAGATGGAGCAGTGCCTGCCTTTGGGGATCCGCTGAAGAGCCCATTCGCTTCCGAGTATGAAATCTGTGTGGTCACAAGGCCTAGTGCCTGCTTCCCAGCTCCTCTCTGTGACTCAATCTTCCTTACTCACTGGTCTTTCAGCACCTAGATCAACCGGGCTTTGAAAGACCTCGGGGCCCTCTGCATCTGCACTGGTCACCCCAGACTTAGGCCTCATTGTGACCTGCTACCATTACAAGTTGACTGTGCTTAAAACAGCCATAAAGTAAGTTTCCTGTTCACGCAGTGTCCGTCCAAGGGCACCGAGGACAGCACCTCACATGCTAAGGAGATACTTACTGACTGTTCCATTATCTGGGGGGAGGTAAAGAAGAGGCAAGAGTCAAATTGATCATTTCTGTCAAAATAGTCTTCAGTCTTCTTGCCTGACTTTTCCAGAATGTATTTAATTGGCTATCTTTAGTACATAAACTAGGTGAAAATCTTTTGAGTTTTATCTTTGTTTACTAGACTCCCAATATCTACCCTAACTGGATGTTGAGCTGTTGGCCCACACCCATTGGGTGGGCTTTCCATTCTGACAGGGCCTAGGGAAAGTCCTAGACCTTAGATGGAGAGAGCAGTTCAGTCTGGGGAGAAGGCTCAGTTGGATGTGCTCGCCATGCAGTCATGAAGGCTTGAGTTTGAGTTCCGGTACCCACATCAAAACGGCAAATCTCTGTGGTGAACTCTGGATGGAAAATAAGAGATCATGTATCAAAGACAAGGTAGAGACTGAGGAAAACACCCGATGTTCACCACTGGCCCCTGCACACACACACACACACACACACACACACACACACACACGTACGCACATGCATACACGCACATCCAGAAAAAGAACACGTGAGCAGTGGAGCAGCCTCATGCTCATAGTAATATTTGGCAGCTCACCTCTAGGTGATCCTGACCCGGGGAGGGAGCAGACTGTAAATGGTGCCTGGCATTAGCTATCCTGTTGTCCCGGAAGCCAGCTGTTTCTTCAACCTTTCCTGTCTTGGGTCTCTTTCTGGGCAGAGTGCCTCTGTGATGCAGGCTGCCAGGCACCAGAGAGGCCACATAGCCCCAGGTTTTGGTCAAGGACAGCTCTCGTCAGCTGGGCATGTGTGATCCTGGCCAAACCCATTCAAACCCCTTCTCCACACCTAAGACTTTAGTGAATTTTGGAACCTTGACCGGAGCCGGCCTCCAGGAGCCCTCTGGCCTCCAATAGGTGTTAACCAGAAAGCCCTAGATTCTGTGTTGGCTGTGAAGTAGGAGCTGCACTGATAATCTCAGGCCTGCTTGTGGAAGGCCTGCTCTGCACCAGACTCAGGCTCACAGGGTCACCATGCTGTGGCACCTCTGCCCACCACCCTGGAAGAGATGACGGACCCCTCATTGTGCAGAAGAGGAAACCGAGGCCCAGTGAGCTCCAACAATTTTCCATTGTTTTCCACCAATAGCTCTTGTGACTTAGCAGATAGCTGTGTGAGCTGCTGGAGAGCGAGATTGCTGCGTTTGCTCCGGGTTGGAGTAAGCTGATGTTTCCCAGGGGATGGACTTGCTCAGGGGGTGAGCTGGACCTGACTCTGCAGGGCTCGCTCTTCTTCACTCTGAAAAGGATCCCTTTGTTCCTCCTCTCCCCTCTCCAGCAGTGGGGTGCAGTGTGCAGAGATTGGCTGCAGCTCACACTCAAGCTCTCTCAGCAGAGGCCAGTGTCCTCTCCTCACCGCCTTTTCTTCCTGTTTGTCTTCTCTGGCCAGTTCTGTCTGTCTGTCTGTGTATATACTGATATACCCACCTGTCATCTGTTAGTTTTTTGAAACAGTCTCGCTCACTCTGTAGCCCAGGCTAGCCTCTAGCTCTCAGTGGTCCCACTGCTCAGCCTCTTGAGAGTTGGGATAGCAGCTGGGAGCTTCTCTGTCGTCTGGACTGTGCCGTTTACTGCTCTTTGTTGGCTCCTGTAATTTTATTTTCCAGACATGCCTGAAATGCATCTTAAGAGATTTAAAGCCTTGCACTTTGTTGCCGTGATTTCCTTCATGTTGCAGGATTTTATTTGGATACAAGTCTGCTTTGTAAGGCCTGGCTTTTCCTCTTTCTTCCATCATTAAATTTCAATATCTCCCCATTTCTGTTCTTTTATAGAAATTTGTATTTCATTTTTTAGGATGTAATAATGGGTCTTCGGTGCCCTGCAGTTTGACTTCCCATCATTTTTGTTCTTAGATCATATGTCTGTGGAACAGAGTGCTTCTGTGTTCCTTGCTCGGAGGCAAGTCTGCCAGTGGCGGTTGTGGTGGTTAGCACTCTCTCTCTGGCCTTTTGGCAGGTCTGAGTGCCCACCCCAGTGTTAGCCCCCATCCTCCATTCTCTGACCCCGCAACACCAGACCAGTGTCTTAAAATTAGTGAGATTTTCCTGAACAAGGTGTGCATGTGTGTGTGAATCTGAGAATGTAAATGTATGTGTGAATGTGAGTGTGTGTGTGTGTGTGTGTGTGTGTGAATGTGTGTGTGTGTGAATGTATACGGCAGAGGGCTTGTGTATTCAGTGTCTGTGTGCACGGGTCTGAGGGTGACCTTGGCTTTTCTTCAGGTGCCCGTTAGCCTTCTGTTTAAGACAGTCTGTAGGCCAGGCTGGCCCACACACTTCCCAGGGTCTGCTTATCTATGCCGCTCGCATTGCCACTGTACCCAGCTTTGACTTGAGTTCTGGGGATCCATATGTTTTCAAGGCCTTTCCCCAACTAAGCCATCTGAATACCTTTCATGTACACAGACCATTTCTAGAAACTTTTATAAACTAGAATCTGAAATGACTTAAAAATATTAAGTTAAATGTAATAATAAGCAGATTTCATAATATCTAGACATTCTTTGTGTGTGCAGTGTTTGCATGATGTGTATGCATGTTTGCACACCTGTGTGTGTGTGCGCATGTGCATGCGTGTGAGAGGAGAGAGAGAGAGAGAGAGAGAGAGAGAGAGAGAGAGAGAGAGAGAGAGAGAATGTGGAGACTTGATGCTGGGTCTTTTCCTCTATCACTCTCTACTCTTTACTCAGGCAGAGTCTCTTACTGAGCCTGGTTGTTTGACTGGAATCTGCTGTGGTCTCAAGGCTTCTCATTTGTCCTGTTTCAGGACCACCTGGTGGTCATTTGCCCTGTGATGGTTCATCTTGGTTGCCACAACTTGACACACCTGGAGAGAGGGAACCTCAGCTGAGGAATTACCCTGTCTGATTGCCATGTGGGCATGTCTGTGGGGGACTGTCTTGGCTAAGATTGATGTGGGAGGGCGCAGCCCACTGTGAGCGGCATCGTCCCCAGGCAAATGAACCTGGGCTGTGTGAGAAAGTAGATGTCTTCCTCCTCCTCCTCCTCCTCCTCATCTTTGTGGTAAGGCCTGAATAGATGGCTTTTGAACAGATGAAAAGCTTAGGATGGTATTCCAGGGTTTTCTTAGCACTTTTTTTTTGAGGGGTGGTGTATGTGATAACAGCAGGTGTTAAGCACAGAAGGATTTGGGAAAAAATATTTTATTTATGAGCATGTAGGCCAGAAGAGGACATTGGATACCCTGGAGCTGGAGTCACAGGTAGCTGTGAACTGATATGGTTGCTAGGAACTAAACTCCAGTCCCGGAAGAACAGTCTCTCTAGGCCCTGCCTTTCCGTTTTAGCAGATGATAAAATTGACTGCCTGGGTTTGTTCTTGCCTGATCCTACGGGTTTAGATACTACTAGGTACTGGTACACTGTGAAGTGGATGGCTGAGTGGGAGACCCCAACACACATTGGCTAGTCACTGAAGTCACCACATAGGTGGTGGGGGAATGCTTTGTAAGGAGGTATACCATACCAAATTATTTGTTCTCAACTACCCTGTTTTTTAGAGCTCTGCCTTGCCCATAGGTCTTTCTCTGGATACTGCTGCTGGCATCCTTTTGATCCAGATAATGATGTCAATTGTATGCCAGGCTGAGTCAGCTTCTAGGGCAGTGTGTTGAATTTGTCTTTTTGGCATGTGACGTAGGTGATGTACCCTAGCCAATCAGACAGTTCATAAATGTACTTAGGAACACCTGGACTGTAGGATGCTCCCCCCATCTCCTATGCCCTCACCAGTGTCTCATTTCCTGCTCTGTCCCCATGCTCTGAAATCAGGTAACGTGCTCAGTGTATTCTGGGAAACTGGTCTGACTCAGTGTAGAGGGAACCAGCTACTCTTGGTTTCCACCATCTTGTGAGAACATGCAGGTAGGAAAGACACACCCTGCTGTCTGTTTTGGTCCAGACTGCCTACACACCGGGGGAAACCGTGTGCACTTCGAGTCTGTCTGATCAAAGCACAGGTGTAGACACGGGGAAGCGACCTGGGCTGTTGTGCCTGTTTGCACAGCTGATAGCGAGAGCCTTGTGACAGCAGCTTTGGAGTCGGGGCGTGGGTGAGGAGGCGAGGCTGCTGTTGAAGGTCTCCTTCTGGAACGTCTTCTACGGAGAATTAAACATTTACCTTCACTGATGCTCTCTGTTCTTGGCACGTGGCCGCAGACTTCGGGCTGACCTGGCTTCCCCGGCACCACAAGTCTGGATAGATGGAGGAAAACATGCCACCCTCTGCTCTCTTTGGTATCCAAAGCCACATTTTGCTCCCACCAGAGTCTGAAAAGTTAGATTTTGAGAAACTGAGGGCTGGGTGGTTCTCTTACAGCGTGGTGGGCCTCAGTTGCTGATTTTCTTCAGGTGGTGGCCTGAGATTGAATTAAGATGATTATCAGGAAATTTTGGACCTCCTGGTTTTTAGTCTTTGTATTTGAGTTAGATTTGCAGAAAGATCATGAATTGCTAATTAAAAAACCTTTCTTTTCTTTGTGAAAATAACTCACACTAATTATAGAAATTGGAAAAAATATAAAAAAAGCATAATGCTGAACATGTTTCTATTCAGGGATAATCACTAAAAACATTTGTTGTATTTGCCTGTGTTTTGTATGCATAATTAAGATCATTGTGTATCAATTTTGATTTCGTTTTTTGTTGCATACCGCATGAGTGTTCTCTCCTGATTGGTGGCAGCACAGTCTAGGTGTTTGCATGGGTTTCTTGTAGCTGCTGTCATGACTTCCTGTGTATGGAGGCCTTTAAACAGTATGTGTTTATTCCCTGGAGTTGCGAGAGACAGAGTGCCAAATCGGTGCAGGCCGGACTGATTCCTCAACCAGCTATGGGGCTCTATTCCTCGCTCTCTTGCTTCTGTTAGCTGTGGTGTTCAGGTCTTACTCAGATTATTGCAAATTAAATGTAGTACTAGGATTTGAATCCACACCCAGAGCTTCAAGCATCCTAGGCAAGCACTCTGTTTCTGAACTGTATCCCCAGGTTGTGCTCTTTTAAACAAACAAACAAAAAATCCCCAAAAACTTGTTTTTCAGTTTTGAGCTAGGCCATCACTAAATCACTCAGACTGGGTTTGTGCTCACTCTGTGGCCTCTATTGGCCGTGAGTCCATCCCAGCTTGAACCCAAGGTTGTTGCTATCTTCAGAGTGCTTGTTCATGTAAGGTTACATTCACAACTTTCAGGATGGGTCCTGCCATCTCTAGGGCTCTTGTTCAATCTGTAGTGCTTAAGAGGGGCTCTGAGGCTGGACTGTGTGGGTTCGAATCCCAGAGCCCCTTCTTACAAGCCAGACAACCTTGAGCATGTATCTTGATTCTCAACCACTCATTTTTTGATTGTAAAGTTGAAATAAAACACCTGCATTCCTGAGTTGGTCTAACCCTTGATGGTGTGTATGTGTATGTGTGTCTCTGTGTGTGTGTGTTGAGAGAGAGAGAGAGAGAGAGAGAGAGAGAGAGAGAGAGAGAGAGAGAGAGGACATATACAATACATGCTTAGGGGAATGCCTAGCTCACTTAAGAAATGCAGTTGTTTTTATTAAAAATTCTGCATAACATGATTTTTTATTTTAATGGCTTAATAAAATTTTATTTATGATCTACCACATTTATCTAATATTGTCTTTTTGTTTTTACCTCACACATAAGGCTACTGTGGATACACTTGACTGTCTAGTTTTGTTCTGTCTCAGATCAGTTCCCTACCATGGATTTGGGGAAATGGAACTGTGACTTCAAAGGGTGTATGTGATTTTCCAGCTGCTCAGAGTGTGGTGAGCAGCCTTCCAGAAGACTCACACCTGCCGTGTTCCTGCTGGCAGCTGAGATATGAGAGGGCCTGTGGAACACTATCACTTTAGAGCTAACGTTTAGACACTCCCGGGTCTTCTGAAGTTGTGTGCAGTTAAGGCTGGGGTGTGAGTTTGCCAAGGGACCAGTGGCCTTCTGTTTTGAAATGATGTCCTGTTCTGCTCTGTCTCAAAGTCCTTGTCTGTTTGTTTCAAAGACTGAAAGCTTCCTAGGAGTTCCTGAGGTCAGTGAGGATGAGTGTCTGTAGAGAGCGCATGCTGACGGCAGGGTGGTTCCAGGTTTCTGTGTAGACTCTTCTCAGATGCTCCCAACTCTGTTTGCAGTGGAACTCGTACGTTGGTTGGTGTTTTACAGGTCCTCCTTGACACTGCCCCTCATCCCTGCAGTCTGGGCCTCCATCCTGAGGTCTCATGTCTCTGGATTTCAGGAATTATTTTTCGGCTCTGTGCTCTGGGTCCCCAGACATCTTTTTCCTTTAATACTTTTGGGACAGTGGTGTGAGTCCCATGCTGTTCCCTCCTTTTTCCTTCTCTTCATGTCTTTATTTCAGAAGCCGCTATTTCTTCACTGTCCACTTCTACTCCCTCTCCTGGATCCAGCCCTGGGCCTCTCGTTTTACCGTGTTGGTCGCAGGAAACAGGAATGCCCTCACACCGTTGCCGTTGGCAGGAGGTTGCTGCGGACTCTCGGGAATGCAGGGGACGAGTGCAGCTGTCTGCTGGGAGTGCTAACGGAGTGCTCCCACCTGGGCTGTGTCCGTGTAGGACAGCGGACTGTCCGTCCTTCCCCTGGCAGCTGGAGAGGCGAGCACGCGTCTGCCTTCTCAGCACGGGTGGCAGTCAGGATGGGTGGCCTACCTCCGCACACCTCTTACTCCTTCACTTCTGATTTCTCCACAGGAGTCACAAGGTCACCCTGACGGGAAGTCAGCTGACTGTCGCCATCACTGAAGCAGCAGCTCCTGAGTGTGAAGAAAAGGTAAAAACTACCCATCCTTGGGGAGATGGCAAGCCTGCCTCCTTGCTGCCTGGCCTCTTCTCGCTCATCAAAGCCCTTCCTCAAATGTCTGCCCAGAGGCTGGTTTTGAATTGAGGTTTTAATGTCACTGTGGTTGTGCCTGGCCGACCCCAACCTTGTCCGTGGGAGCCTCTAGGTGGCTCAGTGGACAGTTGCAGTAACTGTCTCCCTACCCAAACATTTAACTTTAAACCAGCCAGTAGGTGCCATTTCTCAAACTGTTTCTGTATCTGCAATTATTCCAAAGAAGGCTTTGGCTTATCCTATCTTTGCTGTCCTCGGATAGACAAGTGCCAGCCCTTCTGTGGTGATCACAGCAGTCTCTTGGGGCTAAAGTGCCTTCCCACTTCAGGTAATTGTACACACAGCATGCAGTTTCCTTCTCCCAGCAGTCTTGGAGGACAGGCAGGCATATGGTAGCCTTTCAATCCAAGACAGCAAACAAGCTCAGAAGTTCAAAGCTTGCTCCAGGGCACAAGACAATGTGGATGTAGTCTGTTTTCTCCCTCCCTGGAGCATCTTAGTCTTCTCTTTGGAAACCATGGCAGGCTGCTTGTGTCAAGAAACCTGGAGCCCCACCCTTCCCAGCCTCAGGTTCCTTTCAAGGAGTGTTGCTCTTCTGTTAACCCTGTTATTCTTCATCACCAGCCTGAGCTTTCCTCCACAGCCAGTGTCCTCCCCCTGATACCTTCCAATCAGCCTTGAAAGTGCCCTCTCCCATAGGGCTTATTTAAATGCTGGGAGTATAGATGTTCTGTATGAATGCTGCATAGTCATACTTCATAAGTCAACTGGAAGTCAGTGTCCAATCAACTTGATCCTGCTGCATTTGACAGTGTTTTCTTTTTCCTTTTTTAAATAATTGCAAATGGTTCTGTCAATCAGGGTGGCACTGCACACCGAATTGCCATGTGGAATTGTTTAGTTAAATGCAATTTCTAAAAAAAGAAAAGAATCAACTTTTAATTAGAAAGCAGATTGTCAACTGACATTTGATTTGTCCTTTGATGAGGAAGTTGGAAAGCAGATGCCATGGTGCGAGGCCAGGTTGTGGTCCAGAAGGAGGCAGATTCGCTTAAGAGCAGGATGCAGTTTCAATGAACCATTGTTTCCTGAAATAGGCTGACCTTTCCGGTTTTTTGTTGGAAGGCTTTCCTCTGTATGTGATACCAGTTGCCCATGGGACTGAACAGGAGTCCTCTAAACAGGACCATGCTGGCAAGGTGTAAGTTGCAGGGCCCATGACCAAGATCAGCACTCTCGTTACTAGGAGTACTTGAGAAATCAGCAGACCTTCCATGATGCTGTATCTGAATAGTGAATGTATCAGGCTGTACACTTCCAGTTGTAGCATAAAGCAGATTTTGTTTTGTTTTGTTTTTTGTTTTGTTTTTTTTGAGACAGGGTTTCTCTGTGTAGTTTTGCGCCTTTTTTTCCTGAAACTCACTTGATAATCCAGGCTGGCCTCGAACTCACAGAGATCCGCCTGGCTCTGCCTCCCG